CTGTGGGGTGTTCCTTAGCTACCCCTTGCCTACACATCTTGCGCTTTCGGCTCTTAATTTCTAATAAACCTGTGTTAAGAAAAGAGGTCGAAAGATACGATACGAATTTGTGAAGAGGAAAGCGAACGCCCCGAATTATATACTTCACCCTTACTTGTTTAGTTACAATTTGGAACTTTTGTTGCAACTGACATTAGCTTCTTTCACTTGTTTTTAATTCAAATTTTCGACACGCTGAATTTCAACTGATTCAAATTGATTCTTTCAATTTTTCATGATTAATTCGATAGCCTACTTTTCCTACCGACAGTACTCGTTTTAAATTTTAGTTTTTAGGAGAGGTGTAGTTTTTCGAAGGAGTACTTTTATAGGATGTGATAAGTTATGATAAGGATGTTAGTTGGATAATAATTTAGACAAGTAATTAATAATAATACAATTAATTAACAATAATACAATAATAATACAATTAATTAATACAGTTAAAATACGATTAATCAGAAGTCTACATATATTTATTGAATTTCAAATATTTAAAAATATTAAAAAATATGCATGGTTTTGTTGGCCATTTTGTGGATCTCAGTCTAAGACTTAACTGACCTGAGACCCAAAATTTTCACGAATTATTGAACAATTAAATAATACATTTCTTCGGCAGGTTACTTTACGTTTAAAAAAAATTTCTGTTATTAATGTATACATATTTCTATCTATTAATGGTCAATTTAAAAAAGACTGTGCCGTAAAAAAAATATTTGATCCCGAAAGGGTTAATTGCCCGAGGAAACCTAGAAAGTTATCCGATCTAGCCCTTAGCATGGTAAATTAATTCAACCTCCCCGTGATACCTAGAAGATGTTCTTTCCGGCTTGATGCGACTGAAAAAGCTGCGCCGCAACTTTGCACGGGCTGTTGCACGCGATACTAATGCCCTCGTTATCACAGCTGAAAAACTGTTCCTCCTAATGGAGAACGGAGATCATCCGCGTTCGACCTTGACATTTTTACAAATGCAAATCACGTAAAAGGGTGCACAAGAATCTAAACAAAAAAAAAAAAAGAAGAAGATATATATTATAATTATTAAATCACGAATTTTCATATATTTACATACACCTGCTTAAAAATTTCTGACGATGATCGTTTGTATTGTATTCTTGAAAAGATTTTAAAAGTTTGCATCCTCTATCTCATTTGTTCATGCTTCATCCGACTTATCTTGTTATCTGTCTGATATTAACATTTCTTGTTTCTCATCTATGTTTTTTTTTTTTCTTTCTTTTCGCGTGAAAGTGATTCTCACTTGCACTTGAGTAAATTGAATTGAACGAAGTTCAACTCAAACATGTATAGTTCCGACTTTCTGAAACGATACAGGATTTGTACGTCAATTCGTTCCTCGAATCACTAAAATTGACAGACACTTGCTACGCATTTAGCGCGAAGGAAATTGCAAACTAGCAGAGAAATGTTCGCGCTTCTTTAACGAACGGGTTAAAGCAAGCTTTCAGGAGCAGAAAATTGTATGCTTTACCAAGAAGGGGTGAGGGAACTCGCGACGCCGAGGTTAGGGTGGTTAGAGCGTGGCGTAGTGGCAATTTTCAGAACTTCTCGCGCTTTAAATAGTTATGATCGAAAGAGCACGGCGGTGGGGTGCGAGCTAGCGGCGATAAGAGAATCGCGGCTGTAAAAAGATGCATCTCGAAGACAGGGCTTTCGCGCCCCTCACGAGAGACGCACAACACCCTCTCTCGTGCAACCTTCTTCTTCTTCCCGAGCCTGAGGGAGAGACAAAAAA